CAAAGGAAATTCTAAGTGATTTCTGGTTTCTTAAAGTTAACTATTCTTTGATGAATATCTAGTTGGTGGAAAGGAAAATCCAGAGAAAAGGTGTCTCCTTTTTTTTTTTTCTTTTGGGTGAGAAAAAGATGTCTCATTTGATATTTGATGCTTTCTTTCAGGTTGGCCTGAGCTGGACTGCTGGAACTCTAGGTATAAATTATATCATTTCCCTCAATCCATTGAGCATGGCAACAGCTGTCATAGTGACAAACAATGGCAGGAAAGATATGACAATAACTAGCGCACTATTTAGCGATGTGAAGTTCAAGAAAAGGGGAGGGACAGCAGTCCAAGGACTTGGAGGCTGCTCGTATTGCACACACCCTCCTCTATCTTCTTTCGAGCTCTTATCTCCATCTGAAGCAATGCAATCTCAACCTGGAGGATGGTTTGGTTTCCATAGCGAAGAGAAAGATGGTGTTATCTGGAAATGGAAACAGAAAGATGTTCCTCTCAACATCTTGAAGCAAAAGCTCGTATCATTAGTGAAAAACATTTTTCTATAACTTCTATTAAAGTTTCTTAGGAGATATCCTCATAGTTAAGAGTTTGAATTTTTATATTAGAGATATCAAGTTTGAATCTTGGAATGGGAAAGGAATTTACGAAGGAAAGAGCTATCCCCTATTGTATATCTCATCATTCAATGTACAAAAAAGGAAAAACTTATACTAACTCTATGAACAAATAAACAAAATGAGTTTCATGCTAGAACAAGATGATCTCCTTCATCCCAACTATCATTACATATCAGTGCTATGAGAACTACAAGTAGAATGGAAAAGAGCATCAAAAGCATTTTGGAACCTTTATTTTGTTACAATATAATGCTGAAATGGGTTTTTTGCTTTGGTGTCAATTTCTTTGCTTAGGTGTCAAATTTCTGGTTTACGTGTCTACAAGATAAATTGCAGGATTAGTTTATTATTTGACAGAGTCCAAGTTTGTTATTTAGTCTTTACTTAGTGGAGTATGGTTCCTTATTTTTAGAGATAAGATTAGTTTCCTTTTTTGCAGATCATGGAGTCATTGAGTCCTTGTATTGTGCAATCTGTTGCTCTACATTTTCTATTTAAATGGGCACTAATCAGTTGAATAAATATCTTCAATTTCATCTTTTCTGTTGCACACCAAGTGTTTGATTATTTGCCTCATAGAAATTTCATTTACTTTAACCCCTGTTTTTTATCATATTCCAATGGCTGATCTCGTTGCTAGACTTTAGAATTTCAGTTTTAATAACGGAAACTACCTCATGAGACTCTTGCAGATCACCATCAGCAGGACTATCATCGGTTGATGATATAGATACAGATTCAGAGACACCTTCATACTGATCACCATCATTACATAAACTTTCCTTCCCATTAACCTGATGCATCAGATCAAATCGAAAACCATTTTGCCTTTGGGATAGGCGGGATAGGAATCTTCCAGAGGATGGACTTCTGAACCTCCTAGTTTGTTTTTCGAAGAAATCTGACTCAACAATATTAGGGTCCTGAAGTGAGTGAATTAGCTTCTTCTTTTTTCTTTTTTTTTTTTTTTGATTTAAAAGCCATACAGAAGCTTTATTTAGAACTTCAAAACATGAAGCAAATACATGATCAAATATGGTGCATATCTCCTGTTACAATAGACATGGTAGCTGGTATAGCATCCACCCAAAACTCATCTGCCTCTGCGCTGACTGCTCTTCGTGCGAGTTCGTGAGCAGCAGCATTACCAAGTCGGCGGACATGTTGTACTCGGCAAGATTCAAAGGACGCCAACAGTGCTTTGCAGTCGAGAAGAATAAGGCCCAAACTGGAGTTCATTTTGAGAGTTTCACTGGTGATTGCTGATACAATGGTTGTGCAATCAGATTCCACTACAATTCTTCTAAAAGTGAGGGAATGAGCCCACTAAAGAGCCCTCCGTAGACTGCAGGCTTCAGCAACTTCAGCATCCACTGCCCCTTGGCCCTTGCATGCCATAGCTGCAAGTACCTCCCCTGCATGGTTTCGCGCCAGTGCACCCATACCAAAAACACTGTTTTGGATAGATATTGCTCCATCTACATTTAACTTTATAAAACCCGAATCTGGAGGATGCCATCTGGTTTCACTAACTTTCTGCACTACTGCTGCCCCTCTGCCCCTTGATAATACAGCTATCCTATATTCCCTCATAAAATGCATAGTGGGTTGGATAATGTGCTATGGGTTAATGCGAGTATTATTCCAGAGAGCATCATTCCGGTAAGTCCATAAATTCTAACACAACCAATAGACAAGTTCTAGCTGCTTTTTCCCTAAGACACTGGCTGTAGTATCAAAAAAATTTGCAAAGTCATCCATAGGAAGTTCAGAGACCCTCAGGTTTAAAGGACAGCCCAACCATACCGCAAGGGCTAGGGAACAAGAGATAAAGCAATGAAAAACAGATTCCCTCTCTACCCCACACAACGGGCATTCCAAATCCACATCAACATGTTTTTTGTGGAGATTGTCGTTTGTAGGGATAACATTTTGGTAAGCACTCCAAATAAGCAAGTGCACCTTTTTTGGGATATTCAAGGACCACAATGGTTGCCTCCAAAGAGTGTTGAGGATGCTGACGACCCATCATGATCCTGTCATAACTCAAATTTTAGTAGAATTTTATTTTATTTTTATTTTTACTAATATGTTTTGTCTTTGTTTTACTTGTTAGGTTCATTCAAAAAAAAATGGGGGAGCAAAAAGGAAATTTTACAAAGAAGATTGGAAAAGAAGATGAGAGAAAGGACTCAATTGAAGAAATGGAAAGTTGGAGGGGTGAAATGCAAAGTCTAGCTCAAAACCCATCAAACCCAAACCAAAACCCAAACTCAAACCCAATTACCCAAAATCCAAAGCCTACCAACTACCCAAGCCCAAAATCCCAAAACCAAAAATTACCCAAAACCTAAAACCCACAATTACTCAAACCCAAACCCATTTAACCTAAAAAACAAAAAGAAAAGGGAAATAAAAAAATAGATCTAGAACCTTCTGCCTCCTGACCCGACTTTCTCATTTACCTTCCCTCCCCAAAACCAGCCGGCAGCCACATGCCGGCCATCATGCCCCTACCACGCCTACGCCCTACCTGGCTCAGCCCAGACCCTCTGCACTGAACCAGCTTCCACCCTCCTCTACATCAATCTCCAGCTCTGCGCGCCTGCTCTTTGCGCCCAATCCCTGCCCTGCACCGAGCCCTGCCTTGCACGCTTCTGCTGCCTCTCCTCTGCGCCTCACTGCCGGCCATCATGCTCCTGCACCAGATCCCGTGCCTTCCGCGCCTCCTGCACTCTGCGCCTCACTGCCGGCAATGATGCCCCCTACACGCCCGAGCCATCATCAACACTCCACGCCCCTACTTGCCTTGCACCCGAGCCTTGCTCCTGCGCTTGACCGTGCCTTCTGCTCCCAGATATCTCCTCTGCGCCCAGATTTCGTGCAATCATGCACTCCTGCACCCCCTGCACTCATCACCCCGCCTCTTCCCCGAACCAATCGCCAGCCGATCCTGCACTCATTACTCGCCTGCGCCCCTGTGGCAGCCCGATCCTCTGTACTGCTTGTTGGAGTTAATCCCGATTTTGAAGCTAATTGTTTTGAATGAGTCCTAGTTAGCGGAGTTTATGTGTCCTACTATTGTGGTTGCTGATAACCACGTTTCCTTATCTTTAAGTTTCAGTTTGTAGTGGCTAGAAAATAGGAGTTTATGCT